CCAATAATACACTGGTGCCACCGATATGGTTTCCTCTCAAAAAGTCAAATAATGACCGCGTTTTTTTTTCCACTAGTGTGGGAAGAGATCAGTTTGAACACACTTTTTTTTACAAACCAATCAGATTCAGAATAAGTGCAAAGTTTAGGAGGCACTGACACACACACTCACACTCCTCTCGTTAAACCAGTGAAATGTTTGCATTACAGTGACCTGGTTATAAACCGGTGGATTTAAACCGGATCCCGTTTTATATTTGCATCGTTATCAATAGTGCGTTTGTCCCTTGTGAGCCACCGTAGATTCCCCCTCCTCAAGCTGGTGCAAACGCTCAAATGTGCCGAAAACACTCGCATGTTTCGTCTCTTTTTACATATGCATCGTTTTCGAAAGTGCGTTTCCCACCGTAGATCCCCTCCCCCCCCTCATCACGCTACATGTGTCAGTGCCCCCTCGCAGTGGTAGAGACAGCATAAGAAATGTTTCTGTTTGTGCACGAAAAATAAAGATGGAGGAGGCTACAGACACGACTCCCAGTGCAGCTGCAGGTCCGATCCGTCCAGGAAGTCGGTGGAGAAAACGCTCGGGGGGGTGTGAGGCACCAGAGGAGCTAAACTGGTCTCCTCTCCTCCATTACTGCCTCCTCCACTCCCTCCTCTCACCATGGAGATGTCCAGCCAGTCCATGCTGTCGAAATCCAGCCCAGGAGGGTGTGGGGAGAAGCCCAGATCTGAGGTGTCCATGGGGGAGGGGGCGTGAGGGTCCAAAATGCTGGAAGTGCTGAGCATCTGGCTGTGGAGGTCGTGGATCAGAGTGAGACCTCCATCAGGTTCAACGCCCAGCAGGGGGTTCCCCGTCGAGCTCTCCAGGAAGTCCTCCAGACGCGCTATGTGCCTAGCGATCAAGTTTAGCTTATACGTGCGTTACTGAGATTTATTATTACTAGTGCGGTGGTTTGTGTGTAAGTCTGATTTCCTTGGTCGGACCCAAACGCGTCTACACTCTTCATCTTTCATGTCCATAAATCAGTTGTACACTCTTCATCTTTCATGTCCCATAAACACCAAGTTGTACATTCTTCGTATCTTTCATGGTCCATAAACTCAGTTGGTACATTCTTCAATCGTTTAATGTCCATAAACACAAGTTGTACATTCTCGATCTTCTCATGTCCATAAACTCAAGTTTACATTCTTCATCTTCAAGTCCATGAGAAATTTTCGTCGAGCGATGCAATACCGCCAATGAAAGAATTACTTCCATGTAAAGTTTCGGAGAATGAAACTGAACTCATTTCTTCAAATCAGCCTCATGAAGATGAAAGTGGTCGTCATGAAAATATTTGTGCGTCATAGAGATGAATGATGAACTCATTTCCTTCCACATGAAAACGGTAGAGACAAGGAGTCTAGGGAAGGAGCGTAGAAGGATGTCGGACAACAAAGTGGAGTAATTGAGAAAAGAGGAACAAAGAAGAGAAGAAGGAGAGGAGGGGGAAGTACTCTCTCCTTCCTACACAATGCTGGCTGTGTGGGCGAAGTGGGGGGGGAGGGGGTTTGTGTTGAGGAGGGAGAGAAGGTTCGCGGGAGGTTTCATGCAGGAGGCAGACAAAAAAAATGAAAACTCACAGCAGGACGAAAGACAGAGACGGAGGTAGAAGGGAAGTGAGACACCGAATGACTTGAAAAGTAGTACAAAATAAAATACTAACACAGTTCACTATCTTTATAATCGCAATTTTACAAAAATTAATGAATTTGAATTTTAATAAAAGGTGTTACAAGAAAATGGACTCAAATTTAGGGAAGATGGATGGACTATCGCGACTTGATGTTTATAAGTAAGTAAATTCCGAAAAGTAAATAAACAAGTAACGACAAATTCCATGTAATAACACAAAGATACTTTGTTTTTGTGTTTATTGCAAATATAAAAAGAAATGAAGGAGAAATCCCCCGTTTACAAACTAATAGTATATTATTAGTTAAAGGTTGTATCTTCTCCGCTTCAGGCCCCGGTAGATGAAGGCTGGGTACCCCTGGGAATAAAGCATAAAAAAAAAACATAACTTCAGTTACCCGCTCTCTTTCCTAATAGAGAGAACTAGGGCAAAAACTTAACACCGGTGCTAATGTGTATACCTACAAACAGCTAAATTTTTTACAGTGTTAAACAGGAATTTATAAACAACTTTATATTCTGATACTTTTTTATGCGTTGATCCTTTCCTGATGTTTAGGGTCTCAGGGCCAGGCGTACGACCGAGAATGCTTGGCTGATTTAGGGTGAACACACATACATGTCGAGAGGTTTTACGGGTCTGAACCTCACTTAAAAGTGGAGAAATTATAAAGGAGTAAAAGTGGAGAAAATTATGAGAAGGCGGAGTAAGAGCTTTCACTTCACTTACACGGTTGCACTGCCGGGCAGAACCACACAGGCGCGGCCACCTTTCTCGTCCTGCCTGGCGAGATGGCGAATTGAGACTCGCCAAAGTGTGTTTTTTGCGACAATGGGGGCAAGTATCAAAATGCTGTGCAAATTTTTTAACACTGAAACGCTTTAATAGAAAATTTAAACTGTTTGTAGTATACACATTAAGCACCGTGTTAAGTGTTTGGCCCTAGCTTTTTTTATTAGAAAGAGACGAGAGGTAACTGAAGGTATGTATGACAAAAAGTCTTTATTCCAGGGTACCCTCCAGGTGGCCTTACCCCTCCCTGAAGCGAGAGATAACAAAGCTATTTGTTGTTGTTACGACCAACTTTCCTTCTGTTATTTTGATTGGTAAAACTTCATTTTAAAGAATGTCTAAATTTCCGCCCGAGTAACATCACAATTATTTGTGGGACATTACAAAAACCATAAAGTCCTTTATTTTTTTTACTTGGCTAAGTCAATTTAAGGTTATAGTACACAATGTAAGTCGTCACGAACTAACACACTAACCACTGACTACCTTGCCAACACAAAGTCCGTCCTCTTGCCGCAGTTTGTCAGTCGTTACCTGCTGACAAACTGTAGGACGACTTCTCGCCTCCAATTTTTTGAAATAAATTTGTGATTGCTGTTTGTTTGTGGTGAACTACTCAGAGGACAAGACTGTATAAAAGAGACAAGAAGGAGTCTTTAGGGGCCGAAGTTTCCCGGTGGCCTGGGGAGGGAGCGCGGAGAGGTGAGCCTGGGAGGGAGAGAGGTCGGAGAGGATGCAGAGGGGACTAGGAGGTGGACAGGGGGGGGTGGGGAGGGAGAGGGAGCGAAGGGGGG